TTTTTTTTTGAATTTTAATCAAGCATGATTTTTTTAATTTTTTTTTACAAATGTCTATTTCAGGGCAACAGAAACAAAAACAATAAATGTGTAGGTAGGCATTTTAATAATTGCACAATTCATATTGGATGAAAACGTCATTACCGATATAAATCATAATCATAATTAAAAATAAGATCAGTTTTCATAATGAAATGCATAATAACATGTACTTATAAGTTTGAATAAGGTTCAACAGCCTTTTCATTTAGTGCCAGTTTATACTCCTCTTGTTTAGGTGTCACACTCAGAGAAGAGTGAAAGGCCTTTGGTTCATAGGCATCGCGAAATGTTGGAATTGAATCCCCCCAAAAAATGCACATACTGTAACATGCATTATTCTTTTTATAATCTTGTTGATAACGAAAAGTAAAGTATGTTCTAAATAAAGGTTTCGAATAAATACAAACACGAATACATTGCTTAGTGGTTAGTACTGGTAGCGAATGATCACTGTAGCACAATCTGGTCATTCTGTGTTTCGCAAGTGAATAACTTACTTGTTTTAGAAGTATTGCAATTGTTGATTATTATTCAGTAATGATTATAATAACGCACAAAAATTTAATTCGTTGAATTTTTATAAATTGGAAGTAATATTCAACTTAGTTTCATCGTAAACGAATGATTTCGGTCGAATGTAAATGCTCGAAGCGATAAGATATCCGCCATGCTCTCATTTACACGTGGCTCATTTAAATATGTTAATGACGATTCAGTGACCTCGCGGGGAACGCAACGCAGTAGTAGATTTACCGATGTTCTGTCATGAATTTGTTTTTGCGTATCTGTTGACCGACTTAATTAGCTGATTACGAGCGAATTGCTGTATTATGTCTGTCATCGTTTAGGCCGATTTGAAGTTTTGGACGGAACTTGGCTCAGTGATTTGGAACTTATTACGAGATAACCGTCGCTATTTAGACTACTCATTCTGACAGTTGGTATTTGTAATTATTAATGTAGTGAACGATTAATCAAAAGATATGACATATTCAGTACTTAGTGTGATTGGCTTTATGATTGAAGGTTACGCCCTAGAGTCTTTTTACTGCTTTGTAATTGGTTAGAGTTTTGAAAATGAATAAAGTTGTTTTAGTTGGTTTTGGGGAGTACAGCAGACAGACGCAGTCGAGAGTCCAGTCCTGGAGAGCCTTGGGGCGAGTGTTGACGCAGTCTAAAAGAGTCTTGGGTCAGCCTTGCAATAGCCTTGGAGACTTTTCCCCAGAGCGCTGTGTCTTATAGAGTGCTCCACAGACAGACGTGAGTTGAACCATATTTCGTTGTGTGTGTCTTATTTGACTGTAAAGTATAAGTGACTTTCCCGATCCCACACCTCAAGGGGACAAGATATAGAGACGAGACGAGATTCCCCCCTGACAAGTGTGGAGACCCCCGTGGAGAAGAATTCCCCCCTGATAGTTCTAGCAAGATCTTTATGCTTTGATTTTGACAGAGAAAACGGCATGATTTTTTTTTAATCAAAAAATTAGTTGTTTTCAAAATATAAACTGAGCCTTCAAAGAATAATTTAACATTGTTCGCAGAAATAACAGCTCATTGTCGAAACGAAGCTTACCCATTCGGGCTATTCACAATAGGTGTCAATGACTATGGTAAAATATAAATTAGACTCTTTTAGGCACCAGGAGTGAATGAAATATCTAAAATATTAAAAAAAAAAAGTAAAAAAAAAACCACGAAAAAACGCCGGGCGATTTCATGGTCCGTTGCAGACTACTCGACTAACCGTCCATACACGTGTTGTCACTGCACATCGGCCATGTTGAATCGCACGAGATCGGCAAAATCTTCATTACAACTAACATTTTAATGCTCACAACATAAAAATACGAATATAATCATAGGCAACCTACTATTATATAATGAATAAGTTGATCGACACAGGGACATCCCCCCCCCGAGTTGTGATATTTCGGAAATCGCGACACAAGCAAAAGACCGGATAACGATTTACTTGAAACTATGTCCCCATGAATTAATCGTCCGTGTACAATAATTTGACAGGGTATACAATTTACAAACTAGTTTCGTAGATTGAGACATTGTTTGCTTTTTTGGCTTTTCACAAAAATATAAGCTGGCAATCATCATATATTCACGTCGTACGTAGGTCACGGAATGTACACCAATCGTACCCCAAAATACATTCAATTTTGCTGAAACTGGAGAACTTACCTTTGCAAACACGTCTCTTATGCCGCCTTCTTGAAGTTCTTGAAATCAAATAAGGTTACTAGTTCTTCTAGTAACTAGTGAATGAGACCACTGAGCCGAACACATGTATAAACAGTACTATAATAAATTGCACGCAATGGAGATATCACGTGCTGACGCGTTACTCACAGATCTAATCTACTGTAAAATATTTTATTTCAGCTGGAATTATCATTCGCTGAAAAGACTTTTTCTGGCTGTTTTTTGTATTGAATTTATTTTCATTGATTTTTGACAAGTTTGACTGTAAAATATAGGAAAAAGGGAATATTCGCTGGATTTTATTTTAACAAACATTCCTTCAGCGAAAATAGCAAAAAAATGTTGCAAGCAAAAATAAAGTATTTCACAGTAATTAATTTATTCTGAGCATGCGCAGACCTTCTGTCAATGTTGCCGGGAGAGGTAATTTTTGATAAAAATCGTGAAAAAGACCCACTTGGGATTTTCAGATCTGGAAAAAAAAAATATGTGCATACTCGGAAGACACTTGTTCATCAATCTGCCAAGTTTCACTGATACCTGCTGTAGAATTTCTGAGAAAATGTTGGAGACGGAAAACGGACAAAACCTGAATTATAAAGTCCCCTTTTCAGGCTGCGCCTGAACGGGGACTAAAAAACAATTGGTATATCAAAGTGAACAAACGAAAGCATTTAGAACTCAAACAACAATGAATAAATTGACTAATTATATTGATTAGTTATAGAGAAGAAATATATCCAAGTTTGGTGAACCAGTAATAGAACAAAACTTAACCTAATCGAATCTCAACTCACTAGATCTAACCCAAACAACCCGACCCAAACCTGATCTAACCTAACGCAAACCTAAACAAATATACATTAATTTATAGTAATGTTTAAGTTGAATATTTTTCAGGCAAAATATGTTAAGTACACTTACACGTCATGGTCATCTGGAGCCACCCACGTTGCAAGTATGATAACATTAATAGCAAAAGATAATATTAATAAAGCCCAGTTCCAGTAAGGCCTGTAAATTAAACATTTGATGCGAGGACGCATTTTAGATTAATATGTATTATAATATGTGGACACAGTCATAATACTAATATACACACTAATATACAACACTACGCAAGAAGAATGTAACATTAGACATTTGCGTGTGCAGTTTCCATGGGCACGCTACTAACATCCAGAATGTTTTGAACCAAAACAAGACACAGCATCCGGTGTTCTTTCGTATTACATACAAATCATATTGATCATGATATGACAGTAATAATACGAGCCCAGTGCCACACTCTAATGTGATATGTTGTAAAATATGTTGATGGGAACATTTTTCAAGTAAATGGTCGTCTGCATCATGTGCTATACACAGACATTCTACAACTTCAACAACAACATTAACTTGTGTTAGAGATGTTGAAATGAGATGCTGTTCTCAATAAATTTAATTTTACTCACGTTAAAGTAATAAAAAACTTCGTTGGTTTATATGATAACATTTTGGTTTCGTATTTGATGTCACTCTTGATATCGTCTGACCACATGACTAAATCGTTTATTTTGTCACCTTGTGACTCTCGTTTAATGTTCCATTTCAATTTCTCCTTGACTTCCTCTCTAAGGGCATGCTAAATATTGACATACAAGAACACATAAAATGTTTATAAATACATTATCAAATACAAGAAACATAAAATATGATACGACTTACCATTTTAATTGCATGATGCCACTGGGATCAAAATAGAAAAAAAAAGAGATAAAAACAAAAAAGTCGGTCACCTGCTGTGAAAATGGTTCAGTCATCTCAGAAAACAGAAGTGATGGCAATTTTGCGTCTGAAATGTCTGCTACTCGACCATATTTTATCGAATTGAAAAACAACATTAATATACATTCGTTACACGTTAGTATTTCTATCAAGATTGAAAAAATGGTTGATGCATACCTTGGCAATGGATTTTTCAAAATATACAAATAGGGCTAACCTGTTCAAAGCATACTGAATTAGGGTATATGTTTTTCTTCACTCTTTATGCCCCAAAATGTAACTCCTTATTTATCTGTGTCACCACTTCTGATTGTAGTTGTTCATGTACATTCTCACACGCATACATGTCTCGCAGTTTGTACTATACTTACAGTATTTTTAACTCGAAAATGAAGTTTCTGTACTTCACCATTTTTAAGTAATTCAACTGACTTCGAGTTATCTGCGTAGAAGGTCCATTCATTGCAGTTGTCCTCTTCACTTTTTATGTCGTTTCCACTTGTACTCTTACGTTTAAAATAATTTTCTCTAACTGTTGAGAAACCTAAAATTAATAACAATCGTATAAGTGTTGGACAGAGATCCATGAAATTCAGAAATACCGAAGTTTCATTGGCTGCACACAGCTGTTACACCCGACACTGAAAAAAGTGAGTATATGACCAATTGCTCACTATTGGAGTCATATAATAACTGTAACTTGTGTAATTTGAATTGAGTAATAATTAGTGACGTGTTTGTGATTTTTCCATATTCAAAGAAAATTTGTATTTCTTGTATATATCATATGAGCTACTGTATTTATGCTTACTGCATGATTCAAAAACACCATTACATCGCACTTATTTTATTTTATTTGTAATCGCAAGAAGTAAAACTAAATTAATATATGTTATTTAATGCAAACAATAAATCCTTACTGTTTCTTATGATAGGAACACCAATATCCTGCAGTCGCATTAAAATATGATAGTACGCAAAGCCAATATCTGTATCAAGTTCATTGTGTGGTTCCTAAAATTTGAATTAAAAAAACTGTTTATTTGATTTGTTTATATATGTTTATGAATAATTGGATTAAAACATTATTCATAGTAGTACTTAATTAATCAGATCTATAGAATCATTGTAAGTATTGGTATTTCTCGAGTATTATTTGTTCTAAAATATATTATTGAATCACCGAGACTTACTTTACAATAATAATGTAGCATCATGAGATATATTTGCTCTTTATCTATTGTTCCTTTGACTTCGTCTTCCAATTTTGAACCTCCAGGAACATTTTCTTCTATTATCGACATTATGAGATAAGCCATGACTAATCTCAGCTGATCGAACTGTTTATAGAACAACAATGCCTACATTGTTAACAAAACTTATGTGCTAGCCCACGTTGTATCAATTGGGTTTTAGAGATTAAACTATTAACTTGCATCTATATATACTAGATAAAAAGAATAACAATGATGCCAAACTTGCAGCCCTGCCCTACTCTGATTAACATTACTTCGCTTGTATAATTGGTGATATATCATGTCTAACCAAACATTTTGAGTTGTAAACGTTTGTTATATACAGATTCATACTAGGTCATCAATATGCATGAAATGAGTTTTAAATTTAAATGTAATTGTACTTACACTTTTTTGTTTTTCGTTATTCTTTTCCATAGTATCCTGTAATATGTAGTTCACGTATTCTATAACGTTGTTATTAAATAACACCATGGCATTTTCATGGTTACCCTATACAATACAGAAACATAAATATAACTACAAAATTATAACAAAAAAATATAGCACGTAATTCAAATATATTGACGTAACTCACCGATACAAACTCATTTAGTGTTATAACTACTTCTATAGCAAGTTCAACGTTGTTGTCGTTAATATTGGAATACATTATTTGAAGAAATTTAGCTGTTTCTGCCACTATATTAACAATTCTACTATTGTTGTGTTGGTCTCGTAGGTAATTCTGAATAAAATAAATAAAATCATAATGAGAGAGAAATAAATGCTCAACTGATGAATAATTAATATGCCCTTGAACAAAAGAACAAATATAAACATAATAATGAATAGTATGATACACTGGTTGTGTACAAAAACATTTCCAAAATTAAACAGTGAATATGTGGGATACTCATCGAAATAGTTTGTTGTCAGCGCAGTAATAATTATACAAATCATTAAACTAATTTAGGTGACAGCCTGGCATTATTAGTTGCTAGGCATAAATTCAACAAAAAATGTGATTGGTTAAATATATGAAAGGCAGCGTCTACAAGTTTTGTCCTAACACAGAAAACGGGATATCTCCTACAGTATACATCACTTTCATCAAGGTAATAACAAACATTAAACAACTCTACCTGTAAGTCTGTGTGTTGTCCATCACACATTCCTCCTAATATTCTTAACAGAACATTAATATGTTCATCTTTTTTTAACTGTAGTTCCCCGTGTTTAGACATTTTACGCGTATTCTGCTCTTCTTCATCTTTGTTGGTACCAATCATTTGTATACATTCACTGTCATTCACTTTGTTTTGGCAACAAGGATATTTAAAATATTCTGATCGAAACATCCCATTAGAAGTTCTTGATTGCTGGAATTTGTAATGGAAAGAATACACTTAGGGTGTACTAATACCAGTGAAACGAATGTAGGATTTATGTAATGTCCAATCGAAATTCTAATTCATAATCAAGCAAACTCCAAGCACAACAGGCATGTTAACTTTCTTCATGTAATTACGATATGTTTACTATATCTAGCAAATGTCTACGCAACTCACTTGTGTAGACAGTTGATCAGTGTTTGATTGGTTATGAATTGGTACATTATCATTTTCTTTGGTATTATTCTAATAAAAAAAATCACCATTTTTTTTTAAACAGCATAAATATCAAACCAATATATGTAGACGAGGTCATAGTATAATTTTGATTAGTGATAGTGAAAATACATTTAATGAACACAGATAACTAAAACACAATTTGTACAGGGAAACAACAAGTGGCAGACAAAATGATATGTTATGGATATTGTAATGTTTCACCTTTGAAACAAGTGGGGATGGTTCTTTATTTTCTTCCTCAATTTTGCCTCTATGTTGAGCTAGAAGTGCACGCCTGAAAAAAGATATAACATTTGAAATATAACAAATATGTATAGCTCATTCCCGGTGTCTGATATGTGTGTCCCGAATGGAGACACTTGTTATAATTTAAAACAGGTTACATACTATATTGTAATTAAGTCTGTATACGGTTCGTGTCTAATGACCAAGTGAATTTCTAATATTTTATAGAATCTAACATTTTTCCTCGTAATTTCAATTGATTGGCAGTAAACAATCTCGATTTAAAGTGTAAATGCTCCCTTTTAATAATAGAATTTTGAAGTGAACAAAGAAAATCAATATATGCACATCAAACAGGATCCAACGCGTTATGTCGCCGTTGATGAGACTTATGATATTCCGGTGCTATACGTTGCAAATCTTCAGTTCTCTAATTTTGGCAAATACGTGTGAAACTTAAGGTGAAAAATGATATTTTCAACTTTTTCGTGAAAACTAGCAGCCCGATTGCCTTGATAGGTTATATGTAACTACTTCGGATAAACCTCTATCAAATTTCATGTTGTGAAGACATCTTTGATTCTCCATGGATATCACAAATGATATATTCGCATCCTTCTTAAAACTACGAGTCCGATCACTTTGATACTTGAGATGTAAATATTTATTGTTAACAATTGCCATTTCTCGTATGAGAGTGCATTACTGGATGTTCTTGGAGGACAGCGGAGCTATTTTGACCGCTTGTTTCTAAAATATAATACGTATATAATATGACAAATGAAAGATAATACAATTTTACTAAAGGCATTGCTTGGAACCGTCTTAGCATACTTACTTTTCTTTAAGTTCTAGCGCGGATGTATTTATGCGATTTTTGACCACCATGAAAAAGTGTTCTTCTTTGGAATCCAGGAAATATTTCATCAGACTGGACTGTAAAGATATTAATAAGTACGATATTACTTAGTTTATTTAGTCTGCAAAGTCAAATATAAATTAAACGTTGCCCTCTTGCATATATTCATCCTAATAGATTTCAAGCGTAATGCTGTGAATGACTAGTAATAAATCGTAAAATATGTTAACTTCATGGATGAGGTTTTGTATCAATGTATATTATATAAATAATGTGACAATTATCCGCAAATTCCAATCACGTGTTTAGATTGCACCAGAGTATATACAACCAAACCCTCAAACAGGAATACATTATTATCTCAGAGCATCAATATGCAAAGCTGATAAATAGTTCACGAAATATCAGTAATAAAGCTGAACATTAATTAATATGCAAATTAGGGAAATTAATATGCATATATGTCTGCCAGTCTGTGGGTACACAGTTCAAATAAAAAGGTCAATCAGTCATTACGACTTAACAACCAAGAAAGAGCCGCTTTTGTTTGACATTCTATTTTCAATAAAATACCTTGAAGATATTTCATGAGTGAGATTTTCTAAACGAGTGAAACCATTTTGATGCCCTTCGAGACTTCAATGACAATAAAAACGACAGATATAATCTCTTATTACCGCGTAAAGCGTGATAATAAAAACAACTTACCTGTACTGACTGGTTCCCATTAAACAGCATAGCAGATATAAATACTAACAGCTCACTTGCTAATTTCACACTTGTTCTTCCCGCTAATGGCAGAATTTTCAACATTGCACCATGTTCATCTAATTCGTTTTGAATGGATTCAATACTTTCAAGTTGACTGTTAATCAAAAAAACAACAAAACAAATTTATATTGTAAAAGATATTGTGGCAAAAAATATGCAAAACTGATACTGACACACAAAGCTTAGAAAACGTGATGCATTAATTGTGACATTAAAAGTGACTGAGTTGCCATTCTCTAAGCCGTGGCCTGGTACAAATTACAATTCCAATCAAGGAAAGCTTAGTGAAAACGGTATTTAAAACTTTAAGTATAAATAAGGAATACTGTATTTACTAAACTGGTAGCACATCTGCAATACGCATAAATATGGCATACTGTGAGTGGTACTAAGTGGCTATGGCATAACAACTATAAAAAGTAATGAAATCATGGACCATATACGATAGCCTGATGATTCGGTCATATATTTTGTCTGACAACACGATTACACTACACTATTTTCATGGCCCCGTCTTCAACAGTACGTATATAACTGGTTGAATGCCGCTATCTGCAGCAGTGCTTGAGATATTACAGTTATGCATGTTTATGTGACCACGTGAACTCACAAAGAAGATATTTAATATGCATTGCAGTAATCAGATCTGTGTATTATCCATTGAAATGTGATGAGTGGTATCTGTGAAATACTCATAAATTGGGTAAATTGTGCAAATTAGGTAATTGGTAATCAAAAAATTTAACCCTAAACTAAACATGTATATGGCTAATTCCAGAGAAAGTATGTGTCCCTTTCATAGAAATGTGATGAGTGTTTAAGATATTGTTAAAGGGCTAAGAATTACAGATTACAGTAATATGCAGATTAGATGGTTAATATGCACAGATTACAGTCATAAACTAATAAGGTCTGCACGTTATTACACATTATCTATATACCGGTTTCATTAAATGGTATTTGTGAAACAAGTGGAAATGCTTAAAATTGGCTAAATATTATGTAAATTAGGTCATTAATATGCACGGGTTCCAACCCAAAACTAATTAACCCTGAGCATCTATTTACCAAGTTTCTCTCTTTGGTACACAGTTACGCCCACACACACGCACATGCGTAACTGTGTGCACACGTACGACACTCACACAGAACAGAGTTATGGCAATGGTACATCTACAAAAGAGGTATTTAAATTAACAGTTTTTGACAGCTATTAAGCAATATTTCCTCACACCATAGTGTTACACTAGTTCGGTTTATGTGCCAGGTTGTACAAGTTTCCACGACACAGTAATCAATTTTGTCAAGCGTGTATACTTGTCATTTGCAGTGGCGAATCAGAAATTTCCATACTCAGTTATTTGTCACAGTTTAGTATCCCATCTAGCCTACACTACTGAATATATACCAATACGTTGGTGTGTATGTGTGTATCATTACCCTTGGTGTATTTTAGAATCACTTTTCCAGTTTTCTGGTAAACGGCGTTCTTCGTTGTGTATCATTGCTCTCAGTAACTGCAAAAAATGGAATATATCGCGTTTATATTGCAACGTTGATTAATAATACCAAACATGTATATTATTGCAAAATATATTGAGATATCAAATATATTTATAATATACCTGTAAACACCTGATATCCAAGGCTTCTTGTTCCTCTTTTTCACTTTCTCCAACTTTTGGGTTTTGACAGGAGATTCTTATGAAGAGTAAAGATATGGGCAGGTTTAGTGGAATCTATTCAGACTTGGACAACGTTTGAACATGTCGTCTCCAGCAGTTTTTTAAGGACTGTTTCATTTACAATAAATGTAGACACATCCAAAAAATACATTCCCGTATAAACCACAAATAAACCTGCTAAAAATTTAAAATTATTACACAACATTGTGTATTTTGTTCATACAATGTTTGTCTGAAATCAGTCACCAGTTTGTTAAATCTCATCAAAGCAGAATTATGACTTTGAACCTACTTTTAAATAAATCAGTCAAAGCTAGTTTTAGAAATGGTTAAGGACACCTGGAATCAACACCAGGGAAGACATTAGTGGGCGGTTTGCAATCAAACCACATACAAGACTATCATGCATCAGAAAACAATGCTGTGTGATGATCACATTTGCACAGCGGATATATTCATTTCACTTATAATACTCCAAAATATCAAAATATGTTATTGTCTGATAACTGAGTAGCACGGTGAACGGTATTAAATTAAACCAATGTCTTAAATTAATGACTACCATCTTCCGAGGAGAATATACCAGGACATTTCGACTAGTTTCATTACATACACACACGAACGATATCGAATGTGCATACAAGTAAATAGAGTGATATACTCCGACTCTGGGGGTCGTTATACCTATTATATCATGTTTTGTATTCTGGGATAGAGATATAACTTAAAAGGACACATAGAAATGACACCAACGAAGCCACCAGTCAACGACGTTGAATCAAACCAAACTGACATGCACCTGTAACCGGGTGGTGTTCAAATTTGCCTGAGATGACATGTCTGTGTTCTAGTTTTACAAAGAAGACAATAGCCAATTGTGTCTTGCCTCGTACTAAATTCAAACTAAATCTGTAAAGAAATTACTCTTACAAAAGTTGTTCGACCAGTTTGAATGCTAGGCCATAGGTCTGCTCATCATTCTTTTCCTTCGTACCCTTCTTTTTTGGATCTTTGAAGCACCTAATATGTTCTTGGAATTCGTTTCCAAGAGGAAGTTTTTCAATGCCTCCAAGGTCGTATTCTACAATACACACAACAAAAATACAACTATTTATTTATTTATAGATCAGACTGGCACATTATAACTATTTTGTCAAACATCAGTTCCGAATATAAAAATATATATACGTGATATCAACACTTGGTATGAACATTTAACATAATACAAGATGAACAATGCAATAGATATTATTGTCGGAGTACAAGCCGGCACTATGAATATAGCATATAGTAGTGGATTAATTGAAGTGTTATTGTGATTAATTAATTTATTTAATTACTGTTTACCGGGTATATTTATTTATTCTTCACTCACCTCGTTTGGCACTCCCTATCTTTGACTTTGGCAGATCGTCACTCAACTGCGCTCGTACTGTATTTTCACCAGTATAACAGAACATATAATTGTTGGCAAAACGATTCAATCCAATATTGCGCGTTTCTTCATTCTCGTGCTCTTCGATATAATTCTAAAGTGGAATTACATTATTAGACACGTTTTTAGATGTACCAATAAGTGTTTCGTGGTCAAATAACCCAAATATTAACCATTTCCAGGATTGGGACACGTTTGAAGGGTTTTCTCTGTATGTGAGCGATCACCACGAGCATTGACTTGATGCTGATTGGTGGGCGTATTCTAAGATTGTTAATTGTAAAAAAAATCAAGTAAACACTAGTAGTAGCTTTATATAACCGAATAAAGGGCTTTGTAAATACAATGTCAAATCAGAATAAATATTACCGCTTTTGTTTTAACAATTTTAATGCAAATGCCGTTTCTTGCTTCTTTAGATCATCGTAAATCAACTGTCATACTGACTTAAGTTAATTAGAATGGCCTGGTTATCACTCAGACATTTATAATTTGAAATATAATAAGCCCCTGGTAACATAAACCGTATAATGCTCTTTTTGTGTTTCAATAGTGACATACGATATTTATGTCCATGTTTTCCTCTCTTTGATTTTATCTATTTTTCTACAATGCTATGTATACCAAATGATATACAATCAAATATGAATTACCTTTTGTGCTTCACTTTTATTATCCGTGGCTCTCGCTTTTTGTTTAGCTTTAAATTCTTCGACGTCCTACAATATATGTGAACAAGTGAATACACATCAGATCAGTAAGCCACTGGGTCAATTAAAAAAAAACACAAAAAAAACAGCCACTACTCACAAACACGGTAACTTAACTATTTCAATTTTACTATAAACATTCATTTCATTTGCAATCAAAATTGTAAATGCCAAGTTAGCATAAAGAAAACGTGTTTTTAGAGTATTATTATTCACTAATTATTCATCAATATTCGTAAAACTGTTCGATCTTTAGGCAGTTATGAGTTATATTTTCCGTTAGCTGTCGTGTCGTTCTTGCCAATGCCCTCACTCTAATGTTGATAACGTCATGCTATTTTGACGCACAAATGATAAAGAATCATTCAGAGAAAATAGTAAAGTTTGATACACAAACCTTGCGATTCAATGAGTTATTTATCAAACTATTACATGCAGAATTTAGTTTCTTTATCTGTGTTGCATTTGTTGATAGTGTATCAATAATTTTCACAAATTCCTGTAAAAACAAAAGTATTCACATAAGCAAAATACATTACAGTGTTGTTAATACGTTGTATCACATCGGAAACTGTATACTGATGTCGGAACTCACCATAACAGATTTGACCAGTTTGTCTACAACACCATGTTCCTTTAGGTAGCACACTTTGTTGGTGTCGTCGTTATAAAACTGCCCGAAAAATACCTGAAGAAAAAACAAATGTCACATGAGTTATCCAATTAATTCATCAAATGCTACAACTTTGTTGTTTAGTATATAGTGTGTATAATAGGTACATGTGTGATCGAAATTTGTCACATATACAAACATATACACATTATTCGTGAAATTCGAACTGGCAAATGTTCGTCTCCACTGTAAGCGCCGTTAAGCTCTCCGTTACGCCACAATACACAGTCTTGGAAAAAAGACAACTTAAAACAGCGTGTAGTGAATAAAACCTTCCTATGACTCGATGAATATGCGCAATTCGACCCCCCCCCCCCAATAACATGAAGAATGAAATGCTTCGCTCGGATAAAGCCTAGTATAATCATGGCCAAAACGACTTCCCCAGTTACGATAACAATGGAGGAAAAGATCTTTCCATAAGTTTGGCTGTATTAAGGAAATAGAAAGCACATACGTACATATGAATATATAACACCAGATTAAAATTTGAAAACCGACACAAATAGGATGAAGCATCGAATGTTTACAACAACTGTGTTTTTAATATTACTATATAAAATCGATTGATTTCAAAGTTCGTTTCAAATATATGTAATAATTATGATCAGCCATGATGTAATAAATATTCATGAATGTTTTTGTTTGCATGTTTATTCGCAGGTAGGTCGCGATATCATTCCTAGGCTTCGCCGCGAAATTATATTACGACTGCACCGACGGAGTGATAATTCGATTCAGGATATCAGAACGGGGGGAGTCGATATCCTATCCATGCAAGATATCGATCTTCTTCAAAATATCGCCCAATACGTGGTCATTCTCGAAAATGTCGCCCACTTTTCCTATTTTTTAAATCACTGCAAGGTATGTATAATATATCATGAAGATTACTAAGCATGTTTACTGTTAGTTCTGATTCATATTTTGTGGCATTCTGTGGAAAGTAAATATTGCTATAAGTGCAGCATAACCTAACCTGAAATATTCACCAAGAGAAATCTCACCTGAATCATTGGAAATATTCCGTCAATTAAGTAGTGTAACAAAGCATGGTTCCTGCCATCTTCTGTTGTATCTACCTTGGCTGGCAATTTCTTTAATTGCCGTTTAACTTTGGTTTCATTTTCTTTCATGTATTTAGTGAGCTCATCTATTTCGTCGATTGTGGTTTCTAGTAACTTCCAGAAATCTCTGAAATACAAAATCTTGGAATGATATGCTGTAGCGTATAGTAGACGTAGTAGACGTATAGTAGACAATGGATATAAACACCCAAACACAAACTTATTTAAATCAAAAATGGCAAATTTTCAATGTTGCAAATTGAGCTAAGAGTGGAACAATCAAAGCTCATGCAATTTGGATAAACCACTGGGATTTTATTTATTTTATTAGACCTTGTTTAATGAAAATAGATAATCGTCAATGAAGTATTTTTACTCCCACATTGCCCTCCATTATTGGTAAATACACATGTTGGTTAAATAATAATATTGATAATAAATTATCATGTTTTCAGATATAAAGTTTTGAATCTATACTGAACGCATAATACATTATTCATCAAATACATCTGCATATTTATTTCAGCAGACATTAATAAAAAAAACTACTTTACTGTTAAAATAAAACTATTTAGAAAACTGACAATGTCAGATTTAATGAAAGTATTATTGAAAAGCGACATACATCTAGAAACTGCTGATCATTTCTTAATTCAAAAGTCCTCTACGTAAGATGCCTGGTAGGACATAAAACGAAGAGCATGAAAGAGGTGGCAAATTTTGCACAAACGAACACGTTAGCATGGCAAGTTATTGGTAATAATACTTACTCATTGTGAAGAAAACATTCTGCATCGCTACTACTGGCTGTGTTCATGTATACCCATACCATAAACCGTGCAAATGCTCTCTTAATCTTATAATTGTTTTGCTTTGTCAATATAGATAATAAGTCATCCAGAGAAAAAAACTTTTGACAAATCGATTCAATGTATGTATTCTCACCCTGAAATAGTAAATATAATATCTATTGTCCTCTTCATTTGAGGATGTACGTGATTTTTTAGCGAGTCACATGCATGTCATGAAGTACAATAAGATTCACGGCAAACGTTAACGAACCAATCAATATATATACTAAATATACAATAACATGTAAATGTAACAACCTCTGCACATGTAGCTAATAGATCCACCAATGATATCATGTACAAATCAGGATTATTTTCTTTAGTATCTAGCAATTTATTTCTATAAAATAAAAAAAGGATTTCATTGTTAATTAAATATTCACTGATATTAACATTCATTTACATATACCGAAAGTATACTTATATCATCCAAACCTGCTTGTTTCATCTTTTATGATAGGTACATTTTCTGACTGCATAAATACTTTCATTACACATATCTGGTTACGTTTTATTGTTAGATCATGCTCTTCAACCTGCAGTAAAACACATTAAAGCATCATTAGACTCTAACATTATCACATTATATTTATATAGCTCTAAATTAACAGCGTCAATGACAATAATTCCATTAATTATCTTCAAGTTGTGGCTCATGTAAATTAACAAAGTTATATTGGCAATATGTAAAGAATTTTCAAAGAAACGCATGAAGAACTTGATATTACCAAATTAACATGATTGAATCAATACACAGAACAGACAATTTGACATTGAGAGGATTGACCAAAAATAAACCGTCACTTAATACAATCGCAAAGAAACGTATTCATGTGAATGAAGTTTTGCAAAAATATACAGGACTGAATGGAACGATACTTGCTCACAACATAGTTTATACATTTTTAATATGCGAATTTATTGCTAAACATTCTTGTTGTTTAACTTTATTTTGCTAATAATTATACAATGCACCACTGTTATGTGTGATGAAAAATACATACAAAAATACAAAGTCATGAAACAAATATAGTAAATAAACAATTGCATACTGTTATAATAGCGTTTAACGACTCAAGGAACTCTGGAATTTTATGTTGAGATGCAAGATCCATTATTTTCTGCACTTTGTCATCTTTGATTTTAAAACATGCTTCTTTATTTGTAAATATCTAAGATGGAAACAAATAAAATCAATCAATATCAAACAAAAAAGCAGACACAAACAATCTGAATTCAAAGTCAATAGCTATAAATATGTGTATGCACATGTACATACAATTTAAATATAATGTAAAGCAAGTAAATGACACCAAACAATTGGCAGGGTAAACCCTATGTCAAATACAATGTATTGGATAATTCAAAATACTGTTAGTAAACTTAAATAAAAAGAGGATATTGCATTGCATATCCTAGCGATACACGTTTCATTAAATGCGAACCAAACCACCAATCATTCAATTATGTCTAGAAATATCTCCTTCTCACACAAATAACTTCACAGGTGATAGCGGAAGAAGTGTTCAATTAGTTTACCTCCTTAATAGCCTTAGCCATTTCTTCTCCAGCACAATTTAAATTAAGCAAAATGTCTAATCTCTCGAACAATCTCATTTGCACGTCTGTGTTACCCCTGTAAATATAAACGCACATACACGAAACTTAGTATCTTCCAGAGATATATTGTAATATTGTGCTCAATATTTGTACTGAATATGCTTACAATATTTGAAAACAATTACCTTGCTAAAACTCGAAGCAAAATAAAACATTTCTTGAATATTTGTTGTAAAGACTCTTTGTATCCATTTGCCTAATCGGAAGAAGTAAACAAAAACAATTTATATGTTGGAATAATTTGTTTTAATGTTGAATCATATTATTTATATAGGGAGTTGGAATAAATCTATAACGTAGCCACCATATTTAACTGTTGACCCATCGGTTACACAGCAGGAAGGGATCTTGTGATAAGAGTTTGCAAGGAATGGAAAAATGCAAATACTTTTTTCTTTTATCAAAATTTCAACTTTATTCCAACTCCCTGTGGCACTTCGTGTCGAGTTCTTCTCTGTGTATTTCAATTTGCGTATTTTGCTTTTAAAATTATGAATTTGAATTAATACTGTGAGAAACAGATCAGGGAAATTTACTGGGCTGGAAAGGTAATTAACATATAAGCTAGCGGTGACGTTTTTTGACTAAAACAAGCAGCTCCATTCGTTATCTGAACCAAACTGTGTGTGAGTTTACCACCATGAAAGTGACTTGAAAAATATTTGACGTCGGAACCTGGTGACAGTCGTCTGTCAAGGCCAAATTTCATAAGTAGCCTAGCAGATCAACGCCCAGGAAAGACAGACTGGCTTTTCCTCTGATGTAGTGCATATGTACCCATTGTGGGTCCGTCACTACCAATGGCCATGTTATTGCCTCTATCAGACATTTTAGCAGCGTGTACGTGCACTTGTCTGTCTGATCCACCAGTATCTCTAGAAGCTTAGTTCGGATTAAAATGAAACTTGGTATATTTTGGTTGAAATCCAGGTATATTAATGGTCTATATTAATTATATATTAATTAAGTATGTCATCAAGTCATTGAAATGATTGGTCCGCCGAGGGTATAGGAATCAGGAACAAAGGCAAAGTAGATGGCCATCACTGATCATGCTTCAAACTAGAGACACGAGTATAGATTGTTGTCAGTTTGAATGAGAGTAAACAGTTTGTAGGTCAAAACCTGATCGACGATAGTCGGCTATGATTAGACATGGTCACATCGGAAGTAGGGTAATATGCTCATTAGCTCATTAGTTTAGATTGACACTGAGGATTGTCAAGATATGGTGATGTTGGATATCCAAATTCGAGCCCTCCTGTGACCAATATTTGCATGCATCACAACTTCGTCGTCATAAGCCCATATCCTGATATTACACAGTTGTACAGGCTGAGAATAGACGACCATGTGGTCTGGTGCACTTGATTTTTAAAAGACGGACAGATGTCTCTACAATCAACGTTGTTAACTGGATCAAAGTGTGCTACAGTCAATTCACACTAAATCCGTGGAATCTCGTACATCTGGCTACTTCTAATTTATGGCTAAATTGTACTCAGGCACAGAGTAAGGTGTGAAAGGTTGTGCGTGTGTGGGGGTGGTTGAAGTAGTAGAGACTTACAGACTTTAGTTTATCATTAGTCTCTTGAGAAAATATTTCGAATATGTCGGATAGTATACCACAATTATACAAGATAATTTGATTCATAGGATGGCGCTCTTCTGGTTCATCTTCCAATGAGCAAAATCTGTGAAGATACACAAAGGTTTCATCAGCTGAAGTTGATATAACAGGAGATTGGTTTAACATAAAATTAGGACAAAAAAATATGTTGCCCTCAAGTCGGAAAATTGAAAAATTGGGTCGGTCGGTTGGATTTCTTTTAAACTCGTGAAAACAAAGGGTATCGTAAATAGCCGAGGTATATGGGAATCAATCAAACGCATCCTAGATATTAAATACAAAAATCAAAGTGTTTCTTTCAGTCTCTTATCTGGGGATCAAACAACGGTCAGGGATCGTTAATTTTTAGAGGAAACACTTTTTTACTGCTTAAAATGGTGAGTTTTTTGGGCCTATTAAAATAAAAAATAACCACCAGCCGATATTTCATATTTTCCGGTTGGTCGCTGAAGGCAACAAAACATTTTTTTGCCTTATGCAATACAGTGCATAAAAATGAATACAGACAAAGCATTCTCAAAACGTGCACATAAGTGCGTTGTTGAATCAAGATGAAAATTGATGATGTGTCGGTAAATTGGGATGAAATGTGTATATTTGGTACTTCGTTTTACACAACTGTTGGCAATGTTCATATATTAATTCATATTAATTAGTATTGTTACGTGTTCTCCAAACACTACAAAAATCAAGTTATTGTAGAAAATCGTCTTAAGTCACGTTGATAGTTTTGACCAAGTTTGGTCATCACACCCCTCCATGCTAGGACTGCGGTGAAAATAAATACCTAAATAAGTTATTAGTAACATTGCAGCCAGAAATGATGGGCAGTGCCATATACCGTGATGCAGTGACATGTTCTGACATGTTTTAGAACGTTCCACACTGTGCAGAACGCGGTCACGATTTACTGACTTCGTAACTAATCGCTGCCGGTTATATTCACTAAATTTGACATGATAATTATATTGCCAGAATTAATGATACGTACGGTCTGTTGTTATTTATATTTACCTGTTGATTGGGCTAACAATTAAAATAGTTACATGAATAAATGTATTTATTCATTTATTCAAATTGATTAGTAGATGCTAAGATGGGAGTAAATGTGCACTTGAAATTTTCAACTGTTAGTCTGAAACATACTAATGCTATATAACGATGATATGATAGGACACTATTTGTTCAATTATCTTGTTATTATAATTTTGTACAGTGACAAGGCATATATGGCAGAGGATATCCTGGAAATAATATGATGTCAAATTTTGTTTGACATAATCTGATCTCATATTTACAAAAGTTGTCTTGCACCAATTGTATTACATTGCAAAACAACTATTGTGCATTAATTAAGTTAGATGATCTACGATTAATGAATGGAAAAAAACAAACTATGAAAAATCACAAACTAGAATAATTTATTGTTCGAGTCTATGAAAGCTGTGGATAATATTCTACCAAAATGAAAAAAAGTTATGTAAGCAACAATTTAGGGATTTGTAGTGGGAATGACAATAAACCTACCCAGTAAATGTGTCTAGTATATCTTCCAACTCTTTGAATTGATTGGTGTTCATTTTTGTAGCAGATAATCTTCTCAATACAGGCATCTTGTTTTCACATTCCCTAAAAACACTGACCGATGTGCCCTTCAGCAACACCTAATCGTGAACACGCATACAGAGAACAATCCGTTCAGGACAATTAATATTATATTATTCATATAACTATAATTGAAAATGATGAATGCTGTACACGTACCTGTGTCTCGATAGCGCGACTGAAAAGCCTTGAATATGATGAATACTGTATGTATAACAGGTGCATGGACATTTGTAGCATCTTGTCATATTTGTAGTTTGACAATGTCTGCAAAAGACACTCATAATTAGTTACACGTTAACCAACCAATGAAACATAACTTACTTGTAAGTATACTTACCATTAGAGTCTTGGATAGGACATCTTCCTTAAAATATGAAGTGTCTTTAAATATTTCTCGCAATTTCTCGACTGCCGTGCTGCAATATAAATAATTAGAAAATAAATAAATAAATAAATAAATAAATAAATAAATAAATAAATAAATAAATAAATAAATAAATTTGTGTACCATATATATATATATATATATTATAAATTTATATAAATATAGTCTGATTTCAGGGCCGAGTGTGGCCCAAACTAATTACTTATTACTTAATTATTTAATTTTATGTGTATTATCTTTCTTCAATAAAATAAAATAAAACAGTGGCCCGTCATTGATATTTTTGCAGATTGAATTAGTTTGTACTTTTATGTAGTCTTTTTTCCGATTTGTTGTATATGTTTTCCTGGAACGAGAGGTAAATTTGATGAGTTAACTACCACACAATGTTGATTAATTATGATTTTATTTATGCTCACACATGAAATTACCAGTTTAGATCTGGACATTGTTTTAGGGGTGTGCACTAACCCGAAAGGACAATGACTCACTACAATCATGATTTCTATTATATTGATTGCACTAGTGGTAGAGTTTTAAAACTTTATCAGTGTAAAGTCAAGAATTTCTACATGAAAAATATTCACAACTCGTTTGATGAATACACCTTAACTAGACAAAATGTATGTTAACCTTTTGGCTTTTGAAATTATTTCGTTTTTATCACTGTCTTCTCTGTACTTTTTTTTAAAGTCTTCGTTCAACAGTGGCTGCAATTCATGGCTATTCTCCTAGTAAATAAAGAAAGTGTGCATATATCGTAATTTAATACGTGTTCTGTGTTGGTCAAATACCAATATTTTATTTAAACGAGCATATAGATTAACACGAAACATAAAACTGCGTAAAATGGTACTACAACATAGAGGGCACACATCATGTCATGATATACTAGTAAACCTCTATTTCCCCTGTGAGGTGTCTGGTTAACTGTAAGTTTCTCAGTTTTTCGACTATGGTGGGGTTTTCTATCGCGGATTGGTTAAGGGCATCTGTAAAACCTATGGTAATAGCGCTTGATGTGGCCGTTGTTGTTGCAGAAGCTAATGTCTTTGTCATTTGTTGAATTGATGTGTCGCACACGTAACTACTGATGCTACCTTCATTACGATGTCGACTAACACACATGATATGACGATTATTAAATCCTTCTGAGAATAGTGATTGAGAATAGTGACGGTACACTCGCCTACCCACTTTTCCGCAAGGACATCGAAATTGGCCGAAAATTTTTGTTGAAATTCTATTCCGTCCCGCCTTCCACAACTCAGTCTTGATAACAATATAAACTATCAATAACTTATATTACCTTTATTCGAACCAAATGGAGTGAAATCATGCGTAAATGTAAAACTTGGAGCACATTTAAGACACCCATGCATGCGCAGTTCCCATACATCTTCCCAAGACTTTATACAAATGCAATACACCATGCAGTATCCGGGTTCTGTTCAACCATATTTTGGAGAACGCGTATATTTCTAGGAAGTAGTTTCAGTTTACAAAAAACGCGCGATGTTTTTTTAGTGAATAGAAAATATACCAACGACCAGATGGACTTACTATTATTTGGTGAAGATAAAGTCGAAAGTGTCGTGAAATAGAATTTAGAAGTTGTAGACGATTTTATAAAATCACAAAAAAGCAAGCACATTTCAGACAATTGAGCGAAACGTTGCTTGGGTATAGAGGTAGATTGGAACCGACATTCCCTCCACAGACCGTGTTATACGAGCCAATTCATGAAGCAACGCACCGATTGGATTACGAGGCATTATCGGATTAAGATTATTATAAGTAAATGTTGACTGTTTATGTTTAAAGTTACTCAGATGAACGTCTCATCCATATTTAAATGAATACTAAAGTACGAAACTAAATTCCAGTAGTCTTGCTTCTAAGTAATGACAGTCGAACAAAAACGGAGAAACCCTAAAGTCATTATTTCATTACAGAATTGGGTTGGACAAATGAAAGAAATACATGACATTTTATTTTTGAAAACAATTTCCCGATTTCTAGGAAAACTTAGAATCGATGCGAAGATGAGAGGTTTAATAGGAACGACAAACAAAGAACAATTGTGAGAGACATAGTCCCGATTTCCATAGAAGAACGTTGTAAAAAACGTCTATGGCAAACTTTAGATATATATTTTTTTCTTGTTGGTTCATGTTTGTGTATTATTTTCAGTTCTTCTGATTTCAAACGTAATCGACCGTTTATAATTGGGTAGCAGACGACATATTGAAGTTACTCTATGTTGTAATATACAACATCATAGTTACACACTAGTAAATGCGTGGTTATTATATCAGGGTACGGTATAAGTGGATGATGTTTTCAAAATATATTTAAATATTACCTAATATAACTACTTACCTGATACACATTTATATATAGTGAGATAAATTCCCTTAGTCTTTCATTTGAACGAAAATTCAAGATCAAGCTAAACACTTTCATTGCCCTGTAAAAAAAATACACTTTTACGATAAGTCACACCTTCCAGTGACAAAAAGTTTATTTCTGTGACGACAAAATAGCGCAAATGAATGTAAACAATGTAAAAATGTACAAGTTATTTAGAAGGTAGCAATTTAAAAAAAAAAAAACTGTTGTTGCCAGGCTATTACAGAACAACAATATATGGATCGTTTATTGCTTTTTTTCTTCTGTGTTTTTTTATATATATTATTTATTTTGTTGACTGTTAACGCCTTAAAAATTTAACAGCTTCCATTGACAACCTCCTTCGTGTGACGCCAAACAAGCACAACTGTAAATAAAGCCCTCTTCCGATAGGAAAGTTGATCAGTTGTTCAAGCATTTACAAAAAAATGGAGAAATAATTATTACAAATTAAAAAAAAAATACTTAATAAAAATAATTGAAATATAAAAATGTTTAGACTTAATCAAATTTGGCGATATAGTCTCGAACCGCATATCATCATACCATGAATACATGAATACATATATAGACACTTACATATGTTTAACATCTACTAAGGACTTTGTTTTAAAGCTTTTTTCAAATACTTCACTGTCGTCGTTTGTGTTCACCACTATCTTAAGAGACTCGACAAAATCTTTAATATCGTCTTTATCTGTGTAATATCCAAACTTCACCAGTGTATATACAAGTCTAAGCACCTGTAAAGTGATATAATAGCACAATGTATTGAAATATTATATAATAACATACCTGTTCAATATTTAACGTAAATTTTGCTAGTTTTCCTCGGAACTCTAACATACTAAAAAAAGAACGCCTAAATTGCTTTTGTAAGTTTTCAAATGTATGCCTATAATTTAATATACTGTAAAATACATTATTTTCGCGTATTGGGAATTGAAGGCCATACAGCACTATTTCTTTTGATTTCATTGTTTTTGCCGCATTGTAAATGGTAATAGAAAACATTTTCCCACTACGTTTTGGGGGGAGGGGCGACAGAATTTCAAAAGTGATATCACATAGTGCGTTGTATGGACATGGTCGTCAATCTGCAGTACTAAACACTTTATGAATGAGGCATTTCCAGAGGACAGGCTTTATTTTATTTCATGGGCCGTCTGTAGCCGATAAAAACTTGTTTTGATTTACAGCAGTATTCCTCGTGATGCCTCTTTATTTGGAATTTGTTTTTTGTTGCCAATATACAATTGGATTTCCAGACCATTGTCCCTGAAGCACTTTGAAACTCCTTGAATACTTCTAACTTATTGTTATGTTTCTATTGCTAACAAAGGCGAATTACCATTCGGTCATTGCATTTTACTGTCGGTCTTTTGATGCGACATTTGCAATATTTGTCATTCTCACAACATGGGTTATACAGTTGGCCACCAAATGTTACACTCAAGGAAATCCTTGGGTATTTGTGTGTTTTTTTCATGTGAAACTTTCACAAAATATTGGTGGCTTGTCAATTTACAAAATAATCTATATGAGTTTTGTTATCTTGTGAAAATGTTCCAAACAGTTATAAACACATCGTCAGCCAAATAATTGCGCATACTGGAGTAGTTCGCAGGGAAACACATAACACATAAACACCATGCATTTTTTTCTCGAGTGATAACACATGTCAATCTTTTAAATAGTATTGGAGCTATTAAGTCTTCACGATCGCACATTCCCATCACACGCCGTTAGACTATTGTTCAGAATCAACTACTTGCACGTTTAGGGTGGAGATTATAAACATATATTTCAGGAATTTGATAAATAGATTGTTTACTTATTGTATTGTGTAGTGGCAACTTTGCAAGGCGAGGCCGTAAAACACATTCCTGGTAATCACGTGATCGTGCCAACGACTGCAGCGATTGGCTGATCGCATGTTTACTCCGCCACGCCTCAGTGATTTGACTTTGTAACCTTTTATAAGGGAAGAGAGAAGGAGAAGCGGAAGAGAAAAGTGCAGCGAGGGGTTTCCCCAGCTGACTGCTTGTGTGAATGAAGCCGGACTATCTGTAATGAACTAATGTGTATACATTTGGGTCGAATCAATCTGGTATCTCTACGTGTAAATGTGAAAAAACAAACATAATTGTGTCACACTAGTGCCCATTCACCTTTATATATAGCTAGATTTGAACTTGTATAAATCTGCACTTACCTGCAATTGCAACACTCTATGGTCGGATTTCTCTTTCAAAATGGCATTAATCAGAACAGCCAGATCTTTGAACTGGATTCGATGTGATTCAGCCTGGTAAGTTAGTGAGGAACATTTTGATACAGGCAATATGTTATTTTACGTATTATTGTAAATGTGCTTAAAGATTAATCATATTACATTGTCCATTTGTTATAGCTTCAAAACTACATAATTAGTTTTCCAGTATATTTAAGATAACATCAAATATTATTTGCCAAATTTACCACACTGGAACAGCTTTTCTTTAACTCATCCCATACAAATAATAATTTCGGTCTGTCGAATACAGGAACATTTTGACCAACATCAATGAAGAGATCTGTAGAGAAATATTAAGACAGTTGATACTAGCGACAACTGCAAAACACAATCACAATATTCTATAACACAACACATCCAGGTCAATGTGTGGTGACGTGGTTTATGCTGCTTAGAAGGTTAACCACCAGTCAGTTTCTTTGCAATTTCGGAAAATCTGTCATTTTTGTAAATGGTATAATAAGTATTATTATTATACATCTGTCACCGTAACGCCATAAGTTACAGCTTACTGTAATTTTGCAGGATCCTCAATATGGAAATGCGAATTCCAAATATAGAATGATTATGCGCGTAATCATTCTCTAATAATAATCAAAGTTAAACTGTAAATAGCTCCCGTGTGATCAGAGCAAGTATTATGAAGCTATAGGCTTTGTATAATAAGTGAATGTAATTGCATGTAGGTCGATCCATACTTTTACCAAATATTAATAAAATTGATGTCCGAGAAACTATGACATATATGGAAACACTAGATTTTGATATGGGCATTTTGAAAAACATGTGAGATTACTATACTTATATAGGGCACTGTGAAAGTTAACTTTAAAAGATCACTTTAAAAAGAACAAAAATATTAAACATGTGAGGGCGCTATTACTGTAAAAAAAAGCAGCATGTGAAGATATACTGGTACTCTTGTAATTTTTTTATGAAAAAATATAAAAATTTATTCATTTCAAGTTAATTTTTCCAGAGATTTGGGCTACATCTAGTATTTTGTGATATTGTGACACCACATGGTTGGTTTTGCAAATATGAATGCATTTCTTATATTTTGGCAGAAAACCGGCGATCCCAGGTCTGACCAGCACCTGTGATTCCACCAGGTTCACTCATATTTTAACAAACCAGCACATTTGCGAATCATGATTGGCAGGAACTTGTACGCGATTCTGCCTTCGATTTTGTCTATTGATGAATATGATGCACAAAGTGAAATTGAACTTGCGTTTATGAAAATCAGAAAGGGTCCTGCAAACTGAAAAAATGGCTGTAACTGCGCATACATACTCGCCATACTGATAAAACCGCATACATTTGATGTGTTTAGTCGCTGTATCTGCTCAAATAACATCCATGATGACACATTTAATCATTATATACTAAAACTCGCAAATTTCAGACCTTCCAATAAAATATTACAAGTATTTTTGCGACAGAATACGTTATCGCAATATGCAAATTAGGCTACTCACCCAAGTTAAATATTTGTTTAGAAATTTCCAAGACCACTAAGTTATAAATTAATTAATGCAATAATTAGCTAATTAAAATGCATGGAATTGCACCACAATTAAATTAGCACATCTACTCATCATATATTATAGTCGTGTGCCAAATTTCATTTGAATTGAAATTGTAGATCTTAAGTTATCAGAGGAACAAATTTTAGTCACAAAGTCACAGCGTCACAGACACCGATAACACATAAGCTCCGCATCACGGGAGCTAAAAACAAACATGGCTGCCACCAGGGTTTGACCGTCTCCATGCAAAGTCGTTCTCTTGGGTACAAACAATAAATGAAACCATGTGACTAATTATATTTCTCTTTGGTCTTATATGTTATATAGATATGATATTTCAGTTTTCAGAACGCCACTCTGACTGCAGATGAACATACTGAACTTACTCTTTATTAGCTCACAATACTTGGCTCGAAGTGTTGCTGGTAACTTGTCATTCTTTAAAGAAAGATAGGCTTTCTGAAAAGTAAACTTGTCGGTAATCTTTTCAATCACATTTTCATTGCGACCCTGAAAACAAAGATTAATAATAATACATTAATATTTTTTTATGTGAAAGTACACTATAATATAATGTATCATTTCCATTTCACGTCTGCTAAGCATATTCAGTATTCTCATATATTCCAGGAACATACTCATAACTCACTTCAGTGGAACTTTCCCCTTTCAAAGGGGATATTCAATAATTAATCATGTTTGAAAGTTTGTTTGAAACCAGTTAAACATCTCGGGTATAACATCATGGAATGTATCGCATGTAGCCCAGAAGTGATTCAAGTGTGAGAGTTTTTTATCCAGGTATTTACATTAAAATATAATGCATTTTACTCGTATACGACCAGGGTTTCTGGGTTTCAGGTTTTTTTGAAGTGTAATTGAAATTTTTAGAGATTAATCGAGTTTCTGATTATAATTATTTTAAGTTTATTTCATGTGTTTAACGGGATCTATGAGTTTGAGTATCAAAATACAGTATTTGCTGCATTTTTGCAACTGAATATCACATACATTGCTTAAACTTTAAAATTAATATATCTGCATAGACTACGCAGATCTCCACGAAGAACTGTAAAACACGATGCCACGTCACTCACCTGGGACAGTTTACCAAATAAATCCAGCTGATGTTCGAGGAATATGTGATGTTCTTTTGAATCACCACTTAAAGGGATCCACGTTTTACCATTATCAGTAGATATATACATATCATCATCTGTTTTGCCTATTGCTGATCCAACTTCAGTAAAATACAAACATGACTGGTCATGAAAACAAATAAATAAAGAATTTTTATTTGCATTGATAGTTTAACAAACGCAAGTAAAAAACTGACTAACTGTATATATCGTGTACAGTTCCTGAAGTAGAATCCAAACTTCTTGCAATCACAAAATCAATCAAATTATAACTGACTTGTCACGTGATACCTACATTAGTACCTGGTTTCCTTTCCTTGGACCAGGCTCCAGCGATGACGTCTTTGAAGAGAAGAAAACGTGTGGACATGATTCAGTTTGATGAATCAGATTATGGTATTGTGAACAATATAAAAATAAAAATTATTCCAATGATTTAACTTACTTTGGTTCCCGGGAATGGCTACACCATTACAAACACACAGCACGCCCAGTAGATCCAAATAATTATAGTTCTACATACACATATTAGAGAGATAATATGACAGATTCATGTAAAAAAGCAACTACATATATGAAATTCACTCATCAATACATGTCGATTTTATGCAAGACAATCACATATATTGAAGAATGGAGATGAATGCAGATCATACAAGCTGCACCCACCGATATATCCCCTTTCAAAAAATGACATTGTCTATCCCCATTGGCTGCTTTGAGGTACTATCACTTGTTGTGATATACCATTGTCTATATATAGAAATGTTGGAGTTTGTTTACAAACGCTCGTAACTGGATTTCATGTCCCATTATGTCTGAATAAAATCACAATATGACAACTTGAACTCCCACAAAATTCCAACAAACCGATTCTACAGTCACCTTTCTCTGTACAGTATTTTAATAGAAACTACATACAAGTTACGAGTAGCTCCCTTTAACTAATGTGTGACCTGGTTTTTAAATACTAATATTTCCAACTTCAAATTTGTATACATATACTAATCGATCTTTATTGCTTTTGATTTATTTTCAAATTATTATCTCACCTTGCTTTCCTCAAGTAAATCTATGTATTGCGTAATATGTTGCTTCGTTATTCTGTCAACAATCTTCCGATTATCACGAAACAACTCCATCAGCATACGTGTAACAACATGTCCAACATTTTGTTCTGTAAAAACATTACCTACACTTGTCTAGAAATAAATAAAACTTATGTTAATTCAATATGTGGAGGTATCAAATACAGTTTATATCAGGCAGTAATTCAATCGTTGTGAAATTGTTATTTTGCATATCCTACACGATGTTTCTTGAAAGACTAAATATACTATAGATTGTGGCATCAGCTGATAATGGACAGTGGACACAATCTTGTTTTTGTTTGTTTATAACCAGAAGTGTTGATGCGATAACCGTGGTTACTGGTTATTTTTTTTAATTGAATATGCCATCTGTTGATAGTGTTAACTAACCTGTTTCAATTGACCTTGAAAGTAATCAATAAATCTTGCAAGGTATAGTTCATTCTTTCTACTGTCACCACAGACATATGTATATAAGACTTCGTAACACATTATAATAATATCAGCCATTCTACAAAAATAAACAATCGAGGTCAACCAGTCAGTTATCATCATAATTACAATACAATTAATATTCTTCAGCACGTGCCGTATTCATCATATAGAATAATTCAACATTTATAATACTTTATTTATTTATTAAGAGAAATTTAACAAATATCCCAAAAGATGTACATAGGACAAAAGCCGGTCGAGATGCCAAATTGGTCAGTACAATATCGATTACGATGATACAGATAAGATGAAAGTCATTTTATTTTTAAAGCGGGGGAGGGAGTTGTTACCTATGTATGCCCCAGGTTGCCATAGCGTGTCATTGTTTACAAACAAGCGTCCACCTATGAGCCTTTGCGTTCTTAGCATGTGTTGTTATCATCGCATGTGACTCAATTCCCGCGCGTGCGCAGGTGACGACCCTTCAGCTTTAAATCAGCTTTTTTTAAATAATTCAAAATAAGAAAAATTACCCCCCTCCCATTCATTCGCGAATCATGCATTTATTTACTAACCAGTCATCAATTTCAGATATAGCATAATATTGGGAAACATTTGATTGTAAACAAAATCTTGCTCACCTTTTATGTTTCTCGTTCTCCTTCTTGTAAGATAATTTAGTTACGTCCACAAGTAAATCAACGACTTTCAGGTTTCTCAGTAATTTCTGTCTATCTTTTATATATTCACCATTCACATTCATAAAACGATTCAATTCTTGTAAGGCATCTGTGATCTTCTTGGCCTGTTTTTTATTAGGTATTTTATTCTAAGGAGGAAAATTCTAAAATAACTTGCTGAACATGTTTGGGTTATGTTTGCGAAGTGTATACATGGTCACTGATCCTCAATTACGTCACTATGTATACATGGTCACTGACCTTCAATTACGTCACTATGTATACATGGTCGCTGACCCTCAATTACGTCACTATGTATACATGGTCACTGATCCTCAATTACGTCACTATGTATACATGGTCACTGACCCACAGTTACGTCACTATGTATACATGGTCACTAATCCTCAATTACGTCACTATGTATACATGGTCATTGACCCTCAATTACGTCACTATGTATACATGGTCACTGACCCTCAATTACGTCACTTTGTATACATGGTCATTGACCCTCAATTACGTCACTATGTATACATGATCACGGACCCTCAATTACGTCACTGTGTATACTTGGTCACTGATCCTCAATTACGTCACTATGTATACATGGTCATTGACCCTCAATTACGTCACTATGTATATATTGTCACTGGTCCTGAATTTTTGAAGCTATAAAACAAGTGCACTTACATCCTTAACAATTTTCTGTAAAACAGGCACCATACCAGCAACGAAATTGAAGATTTCAATCAAATCAGTATCCACCTGGAACACAAGTTTATTTCATGTATAAAAGGAAATATATACATTCAGATTCTGACGCTTGGTTTGTTCGCCCAGTTATGGTCTTGTCCATTTCTTGTTCACAAGCATTAATTTCAATCGTCTATATTTTCATTCATAATTCTGAAGTTTATATTAAATTCTGGCAAATAATATAACTATATATCCATGGTGAAATGTACAAGCATATATGATATTAAGAATAAAATGAACACACTTTTCCAGGAATATCTTGTTGTGCCAAATTTTGTCTCCAAAACGTGGACCATATTAAGGACAAACCTCAACTAGCAGTGTAGAATTATTTCATTGTTAGGGAAACATATTGACCATAAAGGTAACATCAAAATCAAACTATTGTCCTAAAATTGTCAAATACAAGTCCAGGTCAAATATTAAGAGTCCAGAATAGTGAATCATAGCCTCTTCAGAAGGACAAAACTTTATTTATACATCTAAATATCATAATAATCATCAAATAACAATGATCTATCTGAATAAATTATGTCGTGATATTTCAAGGTATAGTCAAGAGCACATCATCAAAATGATTTAAATAATTGCCTTTTCAAATATACATAAATATTTTTTTTTACGATTTTCAAAGTGTGATTAAACGTCAGGTGGATTTCAAACATATTCCAAATCTAATTGACAATTCACTGTTCGAGTCACGTGTTTACCAAAATTGACAATTTAGGGGCAATCTAATGTAACTTAAAATTTGATAATCAAAACGTAAATGTATAATAATATACAGTGTCCAACAAAGTTATCAAATTTGAAGTTATGTGTTGACGTGTGCTTTCTTTTGGGCCCCTGTGACGTTGCTCGCAGCTGTAATATTTCAAACAGTAAAATTGTCATACCTTTTGAATAGTGAATGCATCATCAAATTGTAACTTGTTTTCCCTTGCAGTGATTTTCCTTAGTGTAGCCTTACTCCACTGTAAATTACTCATTGAATCCGAGTCACCCTTTTCCACTTTATTATATTGACGAATACCTAATACAAACAAAATTAAACATGATATAAACCATTGCATCCAGGGAACAAGTAAAATGAATGCTTCAATAAAAAACTACAAATACTATATCGATAGATGCGTCGACTACTTGATAATGAAACCTAAGCTATTTTTTTCAAAGACAATTGTTGAATGAGTATATGACAGATTTATATTATAAAAAGTGCCATGTTCTCGACTCATGCTATGCTTACATATATGATCAGTAAGAAGAAATCATTTATCAATAAATGCATTATGACTGTGAATAACACAACCAGTTATAGTTTCTGTAGAACAAGAAATATCATGTCTCACCACAATCTCCATGTAACCATTTTTTGGTAGAAACATGTTCAATGCTTGCATAACTTTCAAACTGTATCCCTTTTACTTCTTTTATTTCTTCCGTATCATGAACAACGGGGTGAAATTTAAATATAGTATCTGGTCCAGATGCGTCGTCGGTCACTGTAACCTATACAATGAATACAAAATTGTACCATGCAACTTATAATAGTCTAGATACCACATTTATATAATTTTGCTGCAATAATAAATGATAAAATAGAGAGTTGTCATGCCAGTTACGAATCAATCATCACCGTGGCCATAGTTTATAGTGTTAGATTCATTGAAAGAAGGATTGTTTTTGTCTCGGAAAACTTATTACTGGACCTAGCTAGAAAACAGGAAAATAATAAAACGACTCACTGTCTTATTATCTATGTCTAAGTCAGTTGAATGTTATGGGCATTTGTTCAGTTATATCATTACTCTTGTATCTAGAAAGAAATCACGATTTTCAATTGGAATGTAACTGTATGGGGCTATGCAGAGATAGACTAATTCACCCTGTGTGACTGATAAACAATTTCTGTGCATGTACTACAAGCATTGCTTCTAAAAATATTTGTATCAACATAAGTCAAAATAGCCTGTCATCTAGAAACAAGCATAACACTATCTTGTTTTATATATCTTTGAAAATAACATTGGTGCTAATTACATGACTACAAGCATTCTTCGAGGCAAGAAAATCACTTTCTTGATGCGCCATTGAGCATTGTAAAACTGACGAGAAATCACATATCAATAATAATAAATTATCAAATTCACCTGAATTGGATGTATACAGCCTTGTGATTGGTATAAATAAAAATCTAAAAACTGCAGAAGTAGTGTATGTATCAATAGAGCAGGGAGACGAAGGTTTGAAATAAAAAGATAAATTTTATGGAAAAAATAAAAAAAAACTCAACCCATTGACATATCGAACCAAAGAATATGTCCGCGTAGACACTACTAATGTGTTTGGGACAAACTTATGCAAATGAAACCAACTTCCCTATCCTCAGTAGAGACATGAACAAGACATCCCAACATTATATGTACATAACATTAAAACAGAAAAAATATCGTATTTATATTGTGTAATATCATATTAATTGACAATCACACTAACATGAGACTTTACCTCAACTCCACTTCCTTTAACCACTAGACTTAAATACTTGTGTGTAGTTAAATGTCTAAGACGACACGGTTGCTTCCATCTCATTACTTCACCTAATTTTGAGATATATACAAAATAAAAAAATCATAATCCAGTTCATTACAATGTTTATCATTAATAAGAATAATTATTATACATCTAGCACCAAAAACAATATAATTTGCCGTTCTATGAAAAAGTCGTATCAGCACACGTTCCAAAGCATTTCTGCACTTATTCAAGTAACTAAGTCACAAACATCGATGTGTTCCAAGTCATTGAGCTGGCGCAAGTGCGATATTTATTATATGGGGGCCGCCATCTTGAATACGGCATGAAACTACATAAATAGACAAGTTTCTGCAGATTTACAAATCAGGGGTTGGGGTAATATTGAGACAGCCGCTAACAAAAGTCGACCAAATACGTCGTTTTGTGTGGAAAATCCCTTGCATACGAACACCTAATCACACGAAGAACATAGAACACTTCCCCGCATTGTATGTACTCAGGCAGTACGGGTCGCATATACTCACGCTACGCAGCATATTTTGCAGTATTCTTGTGATAACGTTATATATGAAAATACGTCACCTGTCATTATTCCTTCAGCGGCTTCTATCTGCCAGTATGTTATTGCTGACGTGGAAGGAGATAACGTTCTGGGTCGTCTGGGATCAGTTACCCTCACTCTCAAGAGAACTATAAAATAATCATAATGCTGAGCAAACAAATCTTGTAAACAAACACAGTGTTTCTGTGAAACAAAGTAATCTAAAACATAATTGCAAAGTTATTTCAGATTAGGCCAAATTTATTACATTTATTAATAAAATGGATATATGTAAAATTGTCTCATTTTGATGAATGAATGAATGAATGAATGAATGAATGAATGAATGAATGAATTAATTAATTAATAAATAAATGAATTAATGAAGTTATCGTATTATACACATGGGTTCCTATGCCTGAACAAAATATAAAAATGACTGCAATTCAATTAAAGCCATTTCAAGTTGATCACTTTAATAAAGAAATGAATGGAACCAGTATTATGTAAAACTAAAATGACACTAAAATCATAAAAATAGGTTATTGTTAGTGAAGTCATGTAAATGCCAGTCAGCCGAGGGCCGAAAATGAATGGGCGACCTCAAAGGGGGATCAAGTGGGCGGAAAATTTGAACTCCATTCAATTGTTTGTTTAATTCACACGTTAAATACTGCATGTTCAAGCCTACTACTCTCGAAAACAAGTTAAACATTTAGCCAACTGTTGTAATTAGTTCAGACACAGTTGTTGTGGTATAAACATATACATATCACACATAATAAAGTTGGCAGATTTCCATGAACAAATATCCATCAGCACAACTCAAGGCAGTCTCATTTATGTGACCTACTATTTGAACTATCTGTAGTCACAATTACGAATGACTGCACGACTAATCACTATCATCATTTTAGCTAGTTCCTTTCAACCATTTACATTATTTTGATGTCTGTCATTAAATCGCTTCGTCGTTATAAAATTTCTTCTTATAACAAAAGTAAAGAATATGTAATCGTCACAATGCACATTAGTTGTATCAGAAATTACGTTAATAACAATAAAATTAATATAGTAACAAAACGTGCTCTCTTACCATCTTCATCTACTTCGCCGGCTGTTAGATAAGCTTCCAACTCTTTGTGGAACAATCTGAACACAGTGCCTCCCTTTATATTACAAAATAGCATACACTTTTAAATGTCAAAAAAAGTTAAAATACCTGCAGCAGTATGCTTAAGAAAAAAGAAATCAACTATTTGGGGTTAGTGCAATTGTAGTCTACGACGTAAGATTTCGGAACGTGAATAAAATCATAATAGCTGTGTTATTTGAACGATCTTTACATATTAAGTATCGCTGACTATAAAATACGATGGAGTACACTAAATTGTAATATAATATACATACCTTGACAATATTTTCATGGTGAACATTTGGTTTATAGTATCTTTGTATGGAGAATCCAGACATTCTTACAGACAAGTTCAACTCGAACCTGAAATATGCATATTGATAATACAAAATCTCATTCCGAGACATACTGGTATACTAGACATAGTGGATAGTTAACAAACGCATGCATTATCACATAACAATAATCACTTACGAATCAGAATTAATAAAATCTTGACCCAATCTCGCATTACTGACATGTAGATGGTGACCAGCTGTTTTGACGCTCACTAGAATTATTTGATCATCCACTTGTACCTAAGTGAAAAATAATTGTAATGTTAATGATTTTATTACATACCAATTAACCAAATGATCGTGTCATATAATGATTTAAACATAATTTAAAATTGTTTGACCGCAATTTATATTCATAGTTCGTCAATAAAAACTGTTTACACAATGGTTTTGTTGAGCTGCTACATAAACTAGACCTTCATCCCGAGGATATAATTAAGACGCTAGAGTGTTTAAATATTGTTTCATATACTCACTGTGTCTCCTTCTGATTTCACTTTATATCTTGGCATGATTCGAAACTGTGCCTTCTTAGCATGATGATCAAGTAACTCCACCTTCAATAAATAAATATGATTAATTCCTTGTATTTACATCACGCTGGCGTGATACTACTGGGGCTACATAGTACACGTGGCAATTGATACAGTTATATAGCAACAGTTACATGCATATCGATATACATTAAATTCAGTACTTACACGCATATTACTGTGCTCTGTATTGGATGTATGTGTAGTACTGACATGGATGTATTTCTTGGTAAATACGTGCTTGAGCTGAAATGAGAGATATGTGGCATTATCGTGTTGCAATGGATATCAAGTACAATTGCCATGAATTGGATTACATATATTACCAGTAATACTAGTGCAATCTGTATTAATAAAGAACGTGTATAACATAGAATCATTGGTTCTACCTGTATAATCTGGCCATATTTGACAGGTGTGTGTAGCTGTCTTGCCTGTTCTTTTTCGTTTTCACTCATTTCTTTTTCTGACAATCTCTATATAAGTATATTCATAAAAACAAGACAATGATATGACGATTAGTGCTTAGGTGTGGCAGGGATCTCACAGCCAGGTGTACCCAGACCTCGCAGCCAAGGTCTCACTCAGTGTATTACAGTAGAAAAGGAACCTTATTACAGTACAAATTTGCTTATCTAAATGTAAAATAATTGTAATCTTTTGAGACTACAACTGCAAAATTGATTTCGGAACGTTGTTAAAATATAACAGAAATAATATTGAATTAGTTAATAAGTGTTATTGTTTATTTTTAGACATTTAAATGTATAAACAACATGTATATACCAAAATTCAATGAATTCAAAGTTGCCGAGCCTGACATGGTCGGCTAGAGTTATTGCATCCTCGCCGATATCAGGCTAAATGTTGCCAGTATTCAAACATGCTGAAAAATGTAATTCGTTTGAAAATTTCCTTGTTCTGAAATTACAGCAACACAAAGACTTGACTGGTAATTAGTAAGTGTGACTTGTTTGGAGGGTTGAGTGGTAGTTTTGAAGTCCGATATGCCTACGGTACAATATAGCCACATTGGTGATCGCAAAACAAAATATCAACATTTATTTTAAATTAAAGAATTAAACTGGAAATTTCGACACAGATTTTCGTACCTTGAGTTCCGGCAAATTTTCAACCTGTTCACCTTTTTTCCTGGTTGACAAAAAAATATTATTTTGTTAAGCAATAGTGAAATATAGAGTTATGACTGACCCATAACAATACTAATTTGCGGGAATATAAGACTCTGTATAACCTACTGTCGCAGTTGTTTAAAAGATCGCCTAACATGAACATGAATTTACGGTTTCACCACCATTTGATTAGGAAATAAGTTCGTTTAAGGAGCTATCAGTATATTGCTTCAAGGTACATTTACTAATTGTGAATTCAACTCAATTCGTGGTGTTAACAATCATGCGTGAAAGCTTGCAGGGTATTTTTAATTAGAAAATTAGAAATTGCAACTTGCATTTGAGTTAATATCTTAAACAATCAAACACTAGAATAAACATTAATGATCATTCAATAGATACAGTACAGTCACTATGATATTGAGATATTTGCATATTTCATGATTCAATCTAAATAAGATTACTGGGAGTGCTGTTACATAGTGTGGTGATATCGAAACTGTTTACCCTAATTTATGTCACTTAACAGGCATATAGAAAATAATGGCAATTGTCCATATCGTTTCGCAAACCAACATTTGACAGTAAATTATCTAGTTTTATGTCCATCACATTAAATGTATGCGCGTGTCTTCATTTGAACACCCGATGCAGACGGTTTGAAAATGCATTCTGTATTATTCGTTCAATCAATCAACTATACACACTTTAGGAGGTATCCGAGGAACTTGCTGGCCTGATCCCTGTACTTCTTCTGAGCTTGGTATCTGTGTTGTACACATACTTGGAAAGTTGCAACTGTAAGTATATACACACAAATACCGAATGTTTACAATGCAGCTGTTAAATAGCACAAGAAAGAAGTTCGATAGTTCTCATTGAATAAACTTTGCATTATATGAATAAACCTAATGTTGCATTATATAAAAGGGAAATTGACACAGGTCAACCTTTTTCAAAATGCTAGTAACACATATTAATTATTGTCTTTTTGTATGGACAATTCATTGTGTTGCCAATGTATTACCCTAGCATGTGCATAGGAACCACACGCAGTTGTGTTATTATTATACATGTTCCCAGACTTTATGAAAAATACCTGAAAAGTTATAGTCACGGCACGTACAATTTTAGAATAAGTGTGCGCATATGTTATGACCTATTTTAAATTATGTAGTGACTGGTTAACCCGGCGTTCCAATCTATTCATATGCGACTAATTGCCGACGCCAGCGAATTATTTTTTAACCGGACATTCAGGTCAGGTCATTGACACGTCCTATTAACTTATTACAAACAAATAAGTCTTACCTTGTGGGTTTAGAAATGTTCGTTTATTTCCTTTGTGCTCCTTGTTGTCTTTTTCCGGGTACACATGAAGTATATTATGTGCATGGCTATAATAATAAACACAAATTAAAACTGTAAACATAATCATACCACAGCTGAGAACTATCGATAATAAACTATCGATTTCAGTGTGAATACTATATTTGCTTAATTTCCATCGTTTCCTTCTTTCAATATAGCTGTTGTTTTGCTCCGCTGCATGTGCCCTATCCTGTACATTTGTCTAATATGCCCACCAGTTAAAAAAACACAGTTAAAACTGCAGAGCGGTTTTGTCAGGACTAAGGCTGAACATACCTTTTAAATATGTTATTTTTTTCTCAGAGAATGCTTTGGTCCTACATGATGTATGCAAAATAGCAAGTTAATCGGTAAATCGGCATTCAGGAGAAAATCAAAAATCACATAAATTCTTTTTCTTCAGAACCACAAAACACATTAATCTGAAATTTGAATGTTGTTTGCATCTATGTATAATGATATTCATTTATTATTTTGAGATTGCCATGTTGCATCAACTCTTTCTGACAGTAAACACATAAATCGGACCAGTCACGTGGTTTTGTGGCCATCTTTGATTTTCCCCCAAAAGGCAAAAATGTATGGCATTTGTTTCTTGGGAGTGGTTCAACCGACCAACTGGATATTTGGCATGTAGCATATATGTGTCACACCCATAAGTTGCCTAAAACTAGATAAGCTCAAATCACAGGTGGACAGATAGGGAAAATTTATATGAAGGGCAACTAACTGGTATCTCTGCAATAACAACCAGGGATCTCTTACTCCGGTCGAGACAATTCGACAGTCCAGTGGTAAATCGAGGTAACAACGTACATCGAATATTATAATCAAGGAGACATTCACACCATTAATTAACGACGCAGACAGGACAAGTAAACAACAACTTCTATTCAATATTCATAAAGGTGAACCAAGGTCAACAGTGGGCAAATATAATTATTTGTACATAACACAATAATTGGCACCTCGCTCACTGGAGTATAAACTAACAATAGTATGATAATAAACACTACAAATGCATGAATCGGCAGTGATACGCACAATAATAATTACTTCCGGTTGACAGAATTAACAGCAATGTTCATCACAATAATTACTAAAGTTGTATAACTCAATAGTGAAATACACAATGTCCAACAATATACATGTAGCGTAAACACAACAATAACTATAGTAGTATGAACAAATCTCGTTTGATAAATACAACAACAGTTAACTGGTACAACAACTCAATAAAATTCTGCATGAACTTTAGTACAACGTACAGCCTAATAAAACTATACATGTCATGAATGTACCAACAGTAAAAGCCCTAACCC